TCTGTGCCCCTTTCTCTTTCATTTTATATGTTTTATTTATTGAATCCTATTACTGTATTGATGTTTTTACTGTGCTAGCCACCCAGGGTAGCTTATATAAGATGGAGGGCAACATAAATCCAGAAAATAAAATAAAATAAAATAATGTTCATCCAATTGTGTTATCTCCTCTGTGTGTTTTTTTTTAATTTTCTTCCTTTTCTCTTCTTTTTCCCTGTGGTTTTTCCTGCTTTAAGTGTTCTATTTTTACTATAAGTACCATTGTAATATCACTAAAAAAAATATTGTTTTTAAAAAAGATGGTAAAGCCAAATGACAGTGGATGAATCAGCAAGAGGATATGACAGCGTCAAATGTATTGTTTATTCACACTGACCTCAATGAGATACTTGCCTGAGCTACTGTGCTTAGGGCAGAGCTGTAAAATGCTAGAATGCCAAAAATCTCAGTCAAAAAGCATAATTAAGGTATACACGCCAGAGGAGCAAGAAGACAAGATCTGAGGCTGCCAAAGGGCCCTCCTCATTTAAAAAGAAAAAAATAATTATCCAGCATTTGCACAGAATGCCCAGAAAGCAACACAAAAGAATTCTTGCATTCCATTGTTTTTTCAGAGGGATCCACTGACAATTCTTTGACCACCCTGATGTTTGCAATGTTCAAATACACCATTGGCTAAAAATAACACCCATTTTCTTTAAACGTCCTCTTCAATTGTTACTTTTACACAGCTAGGTTGACATAGTTCTTTGTGCAGAAATAAGCTGTTGTTTCTTTATCGTGACAAACTCTTGTTTTGGATTTTGTTTTCCAGACACAAAAAACGGATCACAGCTTCTCCTAGAAAATGTTTGTAAAAGATGCCTGGATCTTTGATCTTTCCATTGTTCCTTGTATGGACTAAAACCACTAAACTTTCTTCCCTGGCACTTCCACACTTCAAGGGAACCGGTTCAGATACTATTAGAGTTGACCGGATAATGGTTTCTCCTGCTAATCGCAACTATTGTTCAAGGAACTGTCAACATTTATTGAAACGTTAGGTAACTTTGTGGTTCCTCAGTTCTATTCAGGTGGTATGATTACAGTAAATGGTATTTTTTGTGTACTCATGGAGTTGGCATTATTAAATGCAGAACTTGCCTCCAACACCCTACTGGCTTAAGAGAGCCAGTGTGCTGTAGTGATTGAAGGATTAGTCTAGGATGGGAGAGAGCCCAGGTTCAAGTCCATCCTCAGACACTCGCTGGATGACTTCTGGGCCATTCTCTTTCAGCCCAACCCACCTCACAGAGTTATTGTTCTGTAGAACGATGGAAGGAGGAGTACTACCTCGAGTTTTTGGAGGAAAGGAAGATATAAATCTAACAAGCCTGTGCTTTTAATATAACTCCAACTGTTTATATTGGGAAATGCCTGAATATGGCTTTCATCCCCTTTCTGGTCTATTTTTGCCTAGTCCCCTAAAATACATACATACATACATACATACATACATACATACATACATTCCTCCCTCCCTCCATCATATGGCCATCTATCTCATATAATGATCCCAGGTGGTTCACAACAACCACTTCTTGACCTCTAGTACACTTAAGAGCAAGTTCTGCCTTTTCTTACTTCAGTTCCCATCTCCTCTGACACACAAAATACCTTAAACCTCATTTTCTATCTTTCATTCAGATTCAGTTTTTTCTCTTTCTATTGCTTAACTGCATCCTTCCTTTGGCCTCCTTCCTTCTGGGTTCGCTGTCCCTTAATTTCCTGTCCTCCTGGGAACTATTGCCAATCAACTTCCCCATGTGATATTTGAATCACAACCAAACTATCATGTTTCCCTTTTCTCAAAGATGTCCAAGGGTAAACTGCTTTGTTCTCTGAGCAATTGGACATTCCGGTTCATCTCACAAATTGCCCAGTTGGTATTAGAGCCTATGAACAATGATAATGCAGAATTAGGACTTTTAAAGAAATTACAGACATTAGCAAAATCTTTCCATAGAAATCCATATGGATTCTTCTGCATCTTGAATTGCATTTTCTTCACTGAAGGTAACACCCAGGTCTGTCAGAGCTAACTATATCCCAGAACTCTGCATTGGAGTAATCCAAATTCTGTGCCTAGAAAAGCCATCCTCCAAGTATGAACATTGTACAAATAAGTCCCACTTGATTCCCAGGAAGTCTCAGGAATTCTTCCTGAACAGTTTATACCTGCTTCTGATGGTTGTGGGAAGGGAACAAATCTGTGCTTCATGTTGTTGTCAGCTGAGATTGGAAAAAAAATCTGCTTCCCCTTTTTCACAAGACGCGGCCCATGCACTCTTTTTGCTACCAAAAGTGTGGAGCTACAGTTGTTATTTGAGTTAAAAAATAAAATTTAAGTTTTTTTTTTTAATACAGCATGTAATTAAACTTTGGAGTTTGCTAACACAAGATGTGGTGCTGCCTTCAAAAAGGGATTAGACCAATTCATGGGGATCAATGGCTATTAGTCTTGCTGGCAGTGTGACTGCCTCTGAAGGCCATCTGCTGGGCTGTTGGTTGGCCACTGTGAGAAGAGATTGCTGGATGAGATGGGCCAGGGCTCTGATCCTGCAAGGCACTGCTTATGTTCTTAAGAGCTCAGGATGCTCAAGCTGGATTTTATGGCAAAATTCAAATAGTGTGAATTTCTAGCCTTCTATGCAGAGTCTTACTGAAAAAGGTAATGAGGCAAGGGGCAATTTTTCACGTTTAAACATTTGAGAAGTGGTGAGATGAGCAGACCAAATGGAAACCTGCTCCTACAGTAGAACGTCTTCTCATCTTCCTCCATTGGAATGCACATACCAGAAAACTGTCCTGAAGATCCCCTTATGTAGCATTACTCAGGAAATGAAATCAAGAAGCATCCTGTTCTCATAAGACTGTATCTGAATTCCCATTCAACAGGCAGCTTATTGTTTCATAGCAAGCACAAGGTGAAGGGAATTGACTCACCATCCTGTAGAAATGCAAATGGAGATCTTTTTAGCTCAAAGCAAGTGCTGATGGGAGGAGATGCTGATGAATCATGAAAAATATTCAGAAATGGTAGAGTAAAAAGGGTTGTGATTTTCAGCTGTTCTTACCGGCTAGATGATGCCAAGAGGTTATACCTTCCAGTTGAAGTTGGACCTTGCTGGACCTTAGTATCCAGGCTAAGCATCATAGGATGGTAGGATTTAACTGGCTGCAAGAAAGCTTAGGTGACTAACAACAAAGGTACTGTATGTATTCCCCAGTTATTTGGCTATGAAAGCTGCATCATCAGAAAGCCTAAATTAAGAAAAACTGAGGCCTTTCAATTGTGGTGCTGGAGAAACTTGCTGAGAATATCTTGGATTGCAAGAACAGTTAATTTAATACTAGAGGAAGTAAAACCAGACAATCACTGGAAGTGTTAATAATGAAACTGAAAGTTAAAATATTTTGGACATATAATGTGAAGGCAAGAGTCACTGGTGTTTGGAAAAAAATCAAGGCAACTGAAAAAGAGGCCAACAGAAGGCAAGGTGGTTAGATATAATTACTGATGGCGCAAGTGGGTGCTCAGAGAAGTAGCAGTTAATGATGGGCAAACCTGGTGAAGTGTCTGAACAACAATAGCAATGTGGATGGTTATGGACATTGAAATGAGCTGGACAACTGATGCTAGGCATGGATTGATAGATTAAAGGAGCTAGAGTGGTATATGCAGAATAACAGAAGGCTTTTGGAACAGGATAAGGAGGAAACCATTCTATCAGTGGACACTTACCGTTGGGTAAACCCATAGCAATGCCATCGTACTCAATCCCATTGAACGTGATCAGACTGGAGACAGTATTAGACAAGATGTGAAAGATTCATAATTAGACTTCTTGCCCATTATCCTTATTCTCAGAGCAGACAAGTGGGGATGTTGGTCTTAAACCATGGGGCAAAGAAGCGATAGTCCTGGGTTGGTTTGAGATATCTTGATTTAAGGCAAAGAATAAGATGACAACACTCATTTCATGCACACAACTTTACTAATGATTTTTCCCCCAGTTCTGGTGCTGTCCCCATATGAAGGCAACAGCTAAGTTAGGAAGTATAGGACAGGATATATGCCATGTCCAGTAGTTCTTTCCTCCAAAACCTTCTAACATCTGCAGCCTGTAATGACTGCCTTAATCTGTTTAATATTACACCAGCCACACCCTGTAGATTTGTTTCTTGGCCAATTGTGTATGAGTTGGTGCATAGAAAATAATATAATGGGGATTAATACTGCTGAGGCATCAGAGTAACTATTAAATGAGTTGATTTTTTTTTTTTAAAGAACACCCTACACCCATCTGAAATGAAGAAAATGACAGACTGCAATTAGCAGACTACATCCCTGTGATCTTGAAAAAAAGGTTGCTGTGCAATACTGAAATTGTGTATGTAGGTAAATGAAGTCCCTTAGTACCAGAATGTGGTTGCAGTTGATGGCTGTGGTTTTTCTAATTGCCACATGGGTGTCTGGAGGAAGTTCTCACTTCCTCTGATTAGACCGAAAGCAGACTAGAGGAATAAATGGTCAAGTCTCAGAGGAGAAGCATCAAGGCTTGTGAAGCAGAGTGCTGACAAGCTTAGGGCTTCCAAGTCAATATTAAAGATAAAGGAAGGCTTGTCAGGGTTGTGGTTTCTGAAAGGAGGAGGAACATGCAATATGTCTGTATGGGACCACCCTCCAGAGGCCACAGTGGATAGGGATTATGCGGACTGAAGTCCAACATGTCAGGAGGGAATCCGGTTGAAAGAAGGTTGTTGTATACATATGTATCCAGTGTCAGACAACATTTCTGGTAGATCTGGGAACAGAGGAATGGTAAGAATTAAATCCCATTATTTTATATCCTGCCCTCTAGAATAAGGGATATCAGGTCCTGACCTGCTTCTGTATGACATTTGTTCAGGTATCTAAAGAGTGTGATTATATGCCCCCTCAGCTGCCTTTCTCAAGATTAAACAGATCCCCCTCCTTCAGTCTTTCACAAGCCTTTGTTTCTAATCCCCTGATTATCTTTGCTACCCTTCTCTGAACCCATTCCTATTCCACTGGATTCTTATTAAAGTGTGGTGTGGTTCCCAGACCTAGACCTAGTATTCAAGATAGGATCCAACCAGCATAAAATAAGCTATTTTCCATGACCTTTAATTTTTTTTTAATTAATGCATTCTAAGATGGCATTTGCCACCTTTGTAGCCACATCACTCTTTTGGTTCATATTCAGTCTGCAATCACTATTCCAAACCCTCTTTCACAAGAATTATTACCTATTCAGCTATCTGGGCATTTGATTTTTGTTTCCTGCGTGAGGAAGTTTGCACTTAAATCTCATTCCTCTATTTGCATCTGATTTTCCACATCAGGTTTGAATTTCTGTCTTGAAGGAACAGAGTGGACTCAGCTGCTGCCTATATAAAAGAACGGGCAGCTTTCTTGTGGTGGGCCCCACCCTTTCTCCTTCCATGTGGTCTCTGAAGATGTACAGAAGGCTTAGCCATGATGTCATCAGATTGGGAGAGACCAAATTTTTAGCAGGTGTTGGGGGTAGTGCTATTAAGCCTTACAAATACCCATTTGGCCTCTTAATCCCCTGTTCATGAGGAAAATCAACTAAGATGTGGCTGGCTAATTGATGGTTCAGTAGTGTGTGAACCAAGCTTAGGAATCTTTCTTGAGAGAAGAGGAATGAAAGAAAAAAAATTCAACCAAGTGCATCTTTTCCAACCAAGTAGGAACAAAGTCATGTTAATCTCTGGTAGCCTATGTAGTTAGTCTATGATGGCCAGCCTCTTTCTGATCTTCTCTGAACAGGAACTGGGCTAGTAAAATGAAATCTATAGTTTCTTTTTTAAGTATCTGGATAATCTTTTCATTTGAAAATGATGATTTAAGAAGATTTGGTGGACTGAACTATTTGAGAAGATGTCTGATAAATTACACCTGCTCAAAAAACAAAGTAGAAAATCATTACTTTATCAGGAGTAGCAGGGTTTAGTCTTATCTATGACAAAATGAATATCCATCAGCATATATGAAAATGTTAAATTAAATGGCTGGATAGAATAATGTAGAAGCTATTGTGTGCAGGACAATGTAATGAAACATTGTATTGACCCTAAACATTCTAAAAACAATTCCATACAGTTTATCCTGACCAAATCCACACATTGATTTCAAAGAGATTTGGGCCATGCAGCCCAATGCCTATAAAATACCTATTTCTTTCAAACGCTTATAAGCTGCATTTTCTGCCAATGAAGCATTTGTAGCAGCGTATCACCACAATCAAAACAACCAGGAATGAAAAGATACCAACACTATAAATCTAAAAACAAACCCTAAAAACCATGTAGCTGACAATTGTTACCCAACAGTCTTGAAAAAGAAATCGGCTGGGTTCATAGAAGCTGCTTACCTGAATTGTTCTTGGGCTTTCTTGTGACTTAACCATGACTAAAGTTCACATGAAGCTTAGTACAATGTTTGAATCCAGCCAAATGGGTTTACCCAAGCATGCTAATCTGAATACATGCTGGCTGGGGAATTCTGGGAGTTGAAGTCCACACACCTTAAAGTTGCCAAGTTTGAAAAACACTGATCTAAATCCATCAGCCATCTACAACCCTCTGTAATTCCCAGCCAGGGTATAAATCAGATTTAAAATACATTTTGCAGATGAATCAGCACTTGTGGGTCATCCCATACAATTCCAAAGAACTCTTATTTCAAAGTCTTCCATGGCATCAGCCGCTTTTGCTATTCTTGCAGCCTGGTCTTACGTATGTTTGTTTAGAATTAACCCCTAGTGATTTAAATAGGAAGTACTACCAAAGAAACTGTAGTTTATCTGCAGCCATTTAATATTCTGGTTTATTTGTTCATTAGGTTTCAATCCCAGCTTTCCTTCAGAGTAGGAGATTGGAGTGCATGGCACTCCCTATTCAATGTTATCCTCACAACAACCCTGTGAGGTAGGAAGGGCTAATATGGGCTTGGCCCAAACTCATCTGGGGAGTTTTCATGACCGAAGGTGGACTTGAATCTGGATCTCCAGGATTCTGGTGCAGCGCCTTATGACATCCTGAACTAGCTGTCTGATGCATTCACTCCCAGTTCATTAGAAGTGAAATCTATCCACCAGGGTAGACTCAGAACAGAAATTAGGCAGAAGCCTGACTGGGAATTAATTCCAACACATCTGAACAGGAAGAACAACCAGCCTTAGAACTGATGATGAAGATATTGAAGTGGTGGATACCTTCTGACTTTTAGGATCAACCCTCAACAATAAAGGAACAAACGGACAAGAAATACACCACAGACTAGCACGGGGAGCCATGAAGGCTCTGGAAAAGATATTCAGATGCTGGGATGGGTCTGTACCTACAAACATCAGAATCACGCGAGCCATGGTGTTTCCTGTGACATGCTACGGAAGCAAAAGTTGGACTTTAAAGAAGCAGGACAGGAAAAGTATTGATGCTTTTGAATTTTGGTGTTGGAGAAGATTCCTGAGAACATCGTGGTCAGCCAAGAAAACAATCCAACGGATCATCGAACAAATCAGCCCAGAGTTCTCACTCCAGGCACAAATGACTAGGCTCAAATCATCCTACTTCGGACACATGATGTGAAAACCCAGCTCTCTGGAGAAGGCTCTGATGCTGGGAAAGGTGGAAGGAAAGAGAAGAAGAGGACGACCGGCAGCAAGGGGGATGGACTCAGTTGCAATGGCGACGAGTGCACCATTGGGAGACTTGAAAGAACAGGTTAGGGAACGATCGTCACGGAGAAAATCTATCTATGGGGTCACCAGCAGGCGAGGATGACTTGATGGCCACTAACAATCAATCATCTGACCAGCATCGGATTAGGCAAATGGATTGAAAGCGAACTCGGTGCACGATGACCTGCTTCGCTGGCTTGTCAGGAGACGCCAACCCAGGCGCTCCTGGGCATTTCGATCGACTGATCTCCAAGGGAGCGCGCCCGAGCAGAGGGATGCGGGCGAACGGTCCGCCCCACCAGCAAGAGCGAATTCCCAGACCTGAGCTGCCGCCACCGCCGCTGGGGGCGCTAAAGGGCAATCCCGACTGCCAGTCGGCCGCGAAGTTCAGGGAAGGGAAGGAGAGGGAGAGGGAGAGAACGCGAGGCCGAGGGCCACGTGACCGACCTCCAGCCTGTTGGGCGAGCGCCCCAGGTCCGGCGCCACGCGGTTCCCCCAAGGCGGAGCAGCGGTGGCGGCTCCTTTCGCCGTGCTCACGTGGTTCCGCCGTGACGCCATTCCCCGCCCACTCCGGGGCATTTAGAACGCCGAGGAGTAATTCTCG